GCCAGAGTCAGAAATGGAGTTGAAGTTGTAGCTGCACCCCAAAAAGCACTTGAAACTGTTTTTGTTTTTGTTTCTGTTTTAAAGAGAGTCTCCGACTGAGGCTCTGCGTCCAAGTAGGGTAAGAGCAAAGTGTTTTTCTTTTGGAGAGGCAGAGGCAGAGGCAGAAAGCAGTAGGCAGAGAGTACTCCTCGTACAACACTTGGATGAATGAATATATACTCGGCAGCTCTTCGGTGTAGCCTAAGTTCAAAGCACGCTGCTCTGCTGCTGCTGCTGCTGCTGCCGATGGTAGCATCAGACCAAGACCAGGGCCAAGACGATGAGTTTGTAGTTTGGAGTTTTGTAGCAAATTGAATTGTCTTTGTGTTGCATGAATCACGTGACCATGACCATCACACCACCACACCACACCATTGCATAGATATCCAAGAACAGAAACAGAAACAAAAGCAGCGTAGCGTCGTCGCAGGTCTCGCTTTTCCTCTCTGTCTGTCTGTATATGGCAGTGGCACTGGCACTGGCAGTGGCAATTTGAACCTCACTCAAAAGATCATTTACTTTCATTAGGACCGAAGACCGTAAAAGACCGAAGAGAGAAGCGAAACTTGTCGTGCAACGAGCAAGTGCAAACTTGGTCTAATAAACAGCCATTAGGCTGGATCCATGGATCATGCATGAAATGCGGGGAACATCCCAGCAGCCGATCAGATCCCTCACCTTATTGGGATGTCGTTTCTTGCGATCGTTTTGGCCTGCTGCTGCTGCGACTGCTGTCACAGGAATCGGTGAAGATGTGGCTGTGCTTGAAGGCTCCTGCAGCTTAGCCTCCTGATTGTCTGTAACCAAAAATAGTTCTATAAATAAATGCATGTTCTAGTGATGTATAAAACTCACATTTCAATTCAATTTCCTCATCATCCAATAGCAATGAGACCACTTCCTTGGGCTTGAGAGTGTCTGGCTTGAAATTGCCGCCACTTATGACCATTCGTTGGATCTGAAAATGCAAGCACACACAAAAAAATATTATTATTCAAGGCAGGAAGTGCGGGGATAGCGCCAAGTACTTTTAAATGGTAATCAAGAAGGGACTGATTCGAAACGAAACCAATAAATGCACAAGGGAGCCCTAGAGGGCGGAGGAGGAATACTTTATAGAGAACGCCAAAGGCGTAACCAAAATGTCGCCTAACCAATTGTATAATTAATTTCCGGTGTTGGTTTACCATCTCGATGCTCGTGTTTCGTGTACTCGATCCTCAACAACAAAGCACGTGCCTAATATGCGGCAATATACAAAAGGAAAACCTCAAAGCAAACACTCGCAAGAGAGTTTTGCGGTTTTCTCTCCATCTCTCTCTACCTCTCTCTTGGTCTCTGTTGGGGTGTTTCCTGTTCACTCACCTCACTCTTTTCTCTGGCCCGCTGCAGAATCCGCTCCTCGATGGTGCCCTTGCAGATCAGTCGGTAGACAGTCACCTGTTTGGTTTGGCCCAAACGATGGGCCCGATCCATGGCCTGTTGATCGACCGTGGGATTCCAATCCGAATCATAGAAGATGACCTGCAAAAAGAGGTAGAAATATATATCAGAATAGAGTTTCCTTTGGGGTTAGAATAGAGTTTCCTTAAGGCTTCAAATATAGGGTTCTCTTAAACGAAATTACGTATGCAAATGCGTCTTTCACACGCACATCCTTTCGCTGTTTCTTTGATCAATGAATCGAATCCATTGCCTGCATATTCGATTGTTTCGAATGTTCTATAAACCACTGTGTCGTGTCACGAATGTCTACGCTTTTCCTGTCCCCTCTCTCTGCCGTCTTTTATCTGGAGTAGGAAAAACCATCCACCATCCCCTGTAACCCTTCATTCGAGCTCTACGGCACTTGGTACGTGTTCGGTATAGGCAAGTGTTCCAGCAGCAGCAAATTCTTCAATTCAGAGCTCAGAATGCAGGGGAGTGGCATTTCCGGCCCAAAAGATGAGTCTAATTAAAAAACGAACTCCTTCTGTGTGTTTTTTCTTGTTATTTGGAACACGTGTTGAGCAAAACGAAGGGCACAAACGAAGGAAGGAAGTTCTCCATTGAATGGAAAATCTATTCATTATTCAGATATCTGTCTATTGAATGGGCATTTTCATGGAGGAGTTTGCAAGGGAAGTCTATCATTAGGAGAATTGTGGAAAGAGTTTTTCAGGAATATTTGCATAAATTTGCTTTAAGATTGCAGAAAGTGTTTGGCAATGCTTGGATGTAATTTCATATCTTGAGATTCCGAAATATTATATAAAGATAAGTTAGAGATTTATAAAGATCTATGACAGATCCTTACACCCATGGAATCTAATAGAAATTTGTGCAGTCATTCAGCTGCAAAGAACTTACATATATATAGCCATAAGATGGACATATTTCCATATCAAAAACTACAATGAAATTATCGCAAATATTACCAACATTATCACCGTGTAAACATCTTGAAAAAATGTACCACTAATTAACAGAGCCCCACTATAACCCTTATCGTATAATGCCATTACCTTTCAAGTGCCACAACCACAAATTGAGTCGAATGAAAGCCTCAATCATTGGATTGTTAATCGAAACAGCACTCGTTCCGAGGAACCTCGCGATAAGGCGGCCCGGCATGGGTTGGTTTTCGCCCAACTACAATCTACTTACGAGTATTTAACCCATTTGGCAATGGTATTATTTACGGGGTTTAAAGAATACCTAATTAAGTGGCTGCGATAAGATTTGGCTTTGGGCTAAAGCACATTCTAGGCGGGAATTAGTGGTGCAACAGTTAGTTCCATTCCAAACCGCGACGATGAAGCTCTGGCTGGCTATCACTTTGGTGGCTCTGGCCCTGGTCGAGACAAAGGGCAGTATCTTTGAGAACACCTTCAAGAGGCTGCATGAAGAGCCGCCACTGCCCTCCAATCAGAATCGTGCGGATGTGGTGCAAACTTTGTGGATTGAACAGAAATTGGATCACTTTGATGAAGACGAGAAGCGCACCTGGCAAATGGTATACCCCAAAGATTAGATCTTATATAATCTGAAGATGGTTATGTTTTTTTGCTTATTTTTTTTCAGCGTTATATGCTGAACGATGCCCTGTATCAATCGGGTGGACCTCTGTTCATTTATTTGGGCGGAGAATGGGAGATCTCTGCGGGGCGAATCACTGGCGGACATATCTACGACATGGCCAAGGAGCACAATGCTCTGTTGGCCTACACAGAGCATCGCTATTATGGCGAGAGCAAGCCCTTGCCGTGAGTGGAGCCTTAAACTCTCGAAATACTCATATTCTTAAAGGTTTTCCTTTGCTTCTTTTTAGAGATCTCTCCAATGAAAACATCCAATATCTGAATGTAAGACAGGCCCTTGAGGACTTGGCTGTCTTTATCCGGACTCTAAAAGCCACTCATGAGGGTCTGTCCGAGTCCAAGGTCATCATTGTGGGTGGCTCGTATTCCGCCACAATGGTCACCTGGTTCAAGAAAGTCCATCCCGATCTGGTGGCCGGTGGCTGGGCCTCCAGTGCTCCGCTCTTTGCCAAGGTTAATTTTGTGGAATACAAAGAAATCACGGGCCAATCCATTGCCCTAATGGGTGGCTCTGCCTGCTATAATCGCATCGAAAGCGGCATTGCCGAAATGGAGACCATGTTCGCCACCAAACGAGGAGCTGAGGTCAAGGCGCTGCTGAAACTCTGCGAACGCTTTGATGTCTATAGCGATCTGGATGTCTGGACCTTGTTCAGCGAGATCTCGGATCTATTTGCAGGCGTAGTGCAGACACACAAGTGGGTTAAAGGATCCTCATTCAATATGCGTATATCTATAATATTTAACTCCTTTCCAGTGCTGGCCAAATCGAGGCCGTTTGCCAGAAGATTATGTCGGGTACGAATGATCTAATTGGTGTCGCCAGCTACTTGTTGGATGTCTTTTCGGAGAGTGGCGGCAAGTGCAATGAACTAAGCTATGATGCCATTCTGTCACAGCTCCTGGACACCAGCTACACGGGGAATATCAGTGAGTGGCCAGAACAGAAGGATTCTTCCAGCAATACCTCATCTCTTTCTTCCATTTAGTGCGTCAGTGGATCTTCCAGACCTGCAACGAGTACGGCTGGTATCAGACCTCTGACTCTAAGGCTCAGCCTTTCGGCACTAAGTTCCCTGTGGCTCTGTATACCACCATGTGCGGGGATATCTATGGATCGCAGTACAGCAACGAGTTCATTGACAGCCGAGTGGCGGCCACAAATGATTATTTTGGTGGCTGGACTCCCGGTGTGGAGAATGTCTACTTGACCCATGGCCATTTGGATCCCTGGCGGGCAATGGGCATTCAAGATGAAGCTCAGGCCACGGTCATACCCGGTAAGCATATATCTGACAGTCTTTTTAGAAGAAAAACCATAGATGGCATCCCTATCTTACAGAGTATGCCCATTGCAAGGACTTCAATTCGATCAGTGACACCGATACAGCAGAGATGAGGGCTTCCAAGGAACGTATTGCCGAATTGGTCAGGGAATGGATTAAATAAGACTTAGATCCATCTACAAGATAAAACAGATAATGGACTATTTTTAAGCAATTTAGTTGAATAAACAATTTATTATTGCGAAAAATCGAATGGCGGTATGGGAAATCCATTGAGTGGCTTAGATTTATGAAGGCGCGTGAATAACCTCAGAGATAACCATTTCTATATGGAATACTCAACTTTTATACGCGATTTCACTTCTGTGATTTCTTTCCACTATTTTTCTAATGCCACAAAAGATTCACCTGAAGTCAGATCGATTTACAATGGTCCACAAAAATAGTAGCCTCTAATCGTAGACGTAGCGGAAGGCTATCATATCATGTGCATGGGTCACTCTTATCAGTTGGCTAATATTTACGATCCTCGCCTTATCTTGATAGAGCTAGTTGTCGGTTGTTAACTTAAAAGTGGAATGTCGATCAAATTTTCGATCATTTGTGGACAATGGCTGCCTTTCGATTGGCTGTGGTGCTGCTGGCGCTCTTCGTTGCAGTGTCCCAAGGACTCGACTTACCCAACAAGGATGTCCCCCTGCTGGTCAAGACGCTGCAGAATTTGCATCGTGGCCCACCGAAACAGACCGTGCTGAAGCGCGCGAATGTTCAGGAGAAATGGATCACACAGAAATTGGATAACTTCGATGATGACAACAAGGAGACCTACGAAATGGTATGTCCAAGGAATCCCCTTTCATAGTGGAACCCTTTTCATGGTTTCGTTTTTAGCGTTATCTGGTCAACGATGAGTTCCAAGAGGAGGGTAGCCCCATCTTCATTTATTTGGGTGGCGAATGGGAGATCGAGGCCAGCATGGTCAGTGCTGGACATTGGTACGATCTGGCAGAGCAGCACAAGGGTGTCCTGGTCTATACCGAACATCGTTACTACGGCGAGAGTGTTCCCACATCGTAAGAGATCTTTCAGAGAGGTTTTTTTATTCATTTTGATTGAGTTTTCCGACCACTTTGCAGTACCATGTCCACGGCAAACCTCAAGTATCTGCATGTCAAGCAGGCCCTGGCCGATGTGGCCGAATTCATAAAATCCTTCAAAGCAGAGCATCCCCAGTTGGCCAACTCGAAAGTGGTCCTTGCAGGCGGCTCATACTCGGCCACCATGGTGGTGTGGTTCAAGCGTCTATATCCCGATCTGGTGGACGGTGGCTGGGCCTCCAGTGCCCCTATTTTGGCCAAGGTGGCCTTCACCGAATACAAGGAGGTGGTGGGCCAAGCCTTCCTTCAGTTGGGCGGCCAGAAGTGCTACGATCGCATACAGAATGGCATTGCAGAGCTCGAGTCCATGTTCGACAATAAACGTGGAGCCGAGGCACGTGCCATGTTGAGGTTATGCAACAGTTTCGATGATAAGAACGATCTGGATATTTGGTCTCTCTTTGGCAGCATTTCAAATGTGTTTGCAGGAACAGCTCAATATCAAAGGTGAGTCCCATCGGAAGCCCGGAATCTTTCATTGATGATTGATTGTTTTTTGTATTTTTGTAGACCTGGCGATATTGAGTACTACTGCGATTATTTGCTGAGCTTCAGGGATGATGCCACGGCCATTGCCAATTTCGTTTACTGGGGCTGGGGTATGCCCTCCTGCATCGATGCTCGATATTCCAGCACCGTGGATTACTACCTCTGGGCCGTGAATAACTTTGATGCCGGTCGTCCCTGGTATTATCAGACCTGCAATGAGTACGGCTGGTACCAGACCTCTGGCTCCGCGAAACAACCCTTTGGCTCCAAGTTCCCCACCGCCATGTACACCACTCTCTGCGCGGATGTCTTCGGTTCGCAGTTCAGCAACGAGCAGATCAACAGCAATGCCGCACAGACCAACTTGGACTTTGGTGGCATGTCCCCGGAGGTGGAGAATGTCTACATGACTCATGGAGCTCTGGATCCCTGGAATCCCATGGGTCATGGCGTGGCCGAGGGTGCCACTCTCATTGCCAATGCCTCTCACTGTGCCGACTTCAGTTCGATCTCGGCCAGCGACTCGGCGGAGATGCGGGCCTCCAAGGAGCGTCTGGCGGAGCTGGTCAGCGAATGGTTGGCGTAGGATCTTTTTTTGGCCAGAAGAAAATCAATTCTTTTATTTGTATTCAATAAAGTCAATGTGAATCATAGTTAAGGGTTGGAAATAGTTTTTTTCGGGGTAGATATTATGGTTCTTTTGGACAGGAGTTATCTCTTTTCCAAAAAAAGGAATTTTCGATAAACGATACAACGGCTTAAAAACTTTTACTTTGACTTCATTACCATTTTTTACTTTTATAAATAAAAAGGAGCTTTAATTCTGAATAAATTACGACCAAAAGTATGCAACAAAAAGGGGTCTGGAATTATTTTGAATTATGATAATTATTTGTAAGCAAACGAACCACAATTTTTTGCTCAGGACATTTTCCATAATTTTTCACTTTGAAACCAAAGTCCACTCCATTCAAAACTTCTCTTCAAAAACCAATCGAAATATTTTTCTATAGCAGCACACGTTTCTCGACATGAAGATACTCCGATACAGAGTTCCTCTACGTGCATTTATGTGTCTCCATATTACAGGAATATATCCGTAATATACTCCATGAGTGCCAGGTATACATATATGTAGAGGATAAGATAATTTGGTGACATTTGTGGAGGTGAGTAACCATGACAAGAGCACCACTTACATCACGTTAATTGAATCCTAAAATAAATAGAGTGCTTTGAGTTGGTCAACAGTTTACTGATTGAGGACGTAATGGAAAAAGTGTACGCGTGCACACTGTCTAACAAACTTCGGGCCTAGAGGTACCTTTCCAGATCTGTGGAACTTCTATCCACAGAAGAATGAAAGACACCAAAGTCAAGATACACTTTCAGAAGGATAAGTACAGATCAAACGTGTTACGACTCCTCTACTCTATGTATTTCGTGACCTTGAAATCTTCCAACACGTGAGAAGAAACAGCCAACACTCAAGCTTATCATAGTACGAGTAGTGCCAATATTTGTTTGCTTTCCAAGTCTTATCATAAGTCACTTCTGCTCCTAGTTTTGGAATAAAAAAGGCCGCCTGATGACCTGGGAAATCATTCGCCAGCCTGCAAAGCGTCTAATAAGATGAAGTATACCCTAATAGTGCTAGCTCTACTGGCACCCCTGACTGCTGCCGCCAGTTTGGGGAACCTAGAACTACAGCCAGAACCCAATGCCTTTGTACAGTCCCTTAGGGAACTGCGCAGGGCTCCTCCATTGGAGACATCGCGAAAGAGAGCCAATGTGGAAACACGTTGGTTCACCCTTAAGCTGGATAACTTCAATGCCGCCAACAATGCCACATGGAAAGATGTGTGAATCGGAAAGCAGTCGCCTTTAAACCAAGCTAACAATCTTGTATGTAATCTTTAGCGCGTGCTGATCAACGAGGATCACTTTACGGATGGATCCCCCATCTTCATTTACTTGGGCGGCGAATGGGAGATCGAGCCGAGTGCCATTACATCTGGCCTGTGGGTGGACATTGCCAAGGAGCACAATGGCTCACTGATCTACACAGAACATCGTTTCTTTGGCAAGAGTTTTCCCATAACGTGAGTGCTTTTTCGAGACAACTCTTTTGGCAACTCTGAATCCTCTTTTCGCAGTCCTCTATCTACCAAAAACCTGAAATACCAGAGCGTACAACAGGCCCTGGCGGATGTGGTGCATATCATTAAGACCCTGAAGCTGGAGGATAAGTACAAGGACTCCAAAGTGATCGTCTCTGGCTGCTCCTACTCGGCCACTATGGCCACATGGATCAGGAAGCTCTATCCCGACATTATTCTGGGTAGCTGGGCCTCATCGGCCCCACTGGAGGCGAAAGTTGATTTCAAGGACTACATGGAGGTGGTTGGACAGGCTTTCGAGCAGCTGGGTGGAAAATACTGCTACGATCTGATCGACAATGCCACCTCGTACTATCAGGATCTGTTTGAGGGCGGCCAGGGCGCCAAGGCCAAGAAGGAGCTGAATCTCTGTGCGAATTTCAATGTGAATAGCAAACAGGACCGCTGGCAGATTTTCAGCACCATAGCCAATGTATTCGCAGGACTGGCACAGTACCAAAAGTAGGTACAAAAGGTACAAGGATCTAAGGAGTGCAGTAAATTTATATAGAAGCCTTTCCCTTTAGACCTGGAAACTATGATCTGCCCAAGTACTGCTCGGTGCTGCGTTCCTTCAGCGACGATGATGCCGAAGCCTTGTCCAAATTCGTGCAATGGCGACTCGGTTACCCGACCTGCCTGAGTGTCACCTATAAGGGCACCGTCAACTACTACAAATGGGCCAAGATAAACTATGAAGACGACAGTGAGTGATATTCTGAAAGGAAGAAGCCTATCCCTTTCTCATCCCTTTCCCTTGTGTTCTCAGGCGGTCTTCCCTGGATATATCAGACTTGCAGCGAATTTGGTTGGTACCAGTCATCAGACAGCGAAAACCAGCCTTTTGGTTCCTCCTTCCCGGCCACCCTCTACACTGACACCTGCCACGATGTTTTCAGCAAGAACTATACCCTCATCAATATCGAGGCTAACATTGCAGCCACCAACAAGGACTTCCAGGGCATCGATATCGCTGTGAAGAATGTCTACTGGACCCAGGGGGGTCTGGATCCATGGAGCAAGGTGGGGGCAGGCATCGCCCAAGGGGCCATCATTATTCCGCAGGCCTCGCACTGCTCCGATCTGGATTCTATAAGTGCCAACGATAGCCCTGAACTTCAGGCCTCCAAGCTGAAGTTGGCACAGCTCGTTCGGGATTGGTTGGCGCAGTAAATCGATCGAAACTGTAGAATTTCTATATACCTATATCTAAATCTTCAAAGTACTTTTTTCTATTTCTATTTACAAATATTTAATCACCACAATTGGTCTCAATAAAGCGAATCTTTAACCTTAACTGAAGTATGCACTTGTCCTTAACAGATAACTTGAGTGGTTTCAATGATTATACCACAAGTTCCATCAGAAGAGCTTGAGGGGTTTCAATGATTAAGGCACAAGTTGCATCCATCAAGCACTTTTTATAGTTAAGTCACGCAGGAAGAGAGATGGCGAGAACTTCAGGCGTTTCAATGCTGAAAACACACTCAAGCACCCTTCACAGCTAAGGCACACTAGGAGAGAGAAAGTGAGAAACCACCCTTTGCTGCTAAGACACATTGGAATAGTCTTGTTGTCCTGTGCTGCTAAGACACACTGGGAGAACTTTGACAGAGTGGATTTATACAAGATCCATCCATAGAGAATCAAGAATCTGTTTCTCTTTGTTCTGCTGTTTGTGGATTATTTGCAAATATGATGTAATAAAAATATCGAATTTATGTGCCCCACAAATCCATCAAAATCCACCAAAAGGTGTGACCACTCGGACAGTCCCTCACGGCCATAGTTGGTGGGGATATGGAATCCAAAAGATCACCCCATGAATTGCACTAAATTCCGAATCGTGAGGGGAATATCAACAGTCGCCAGATTGTCGACTGGCCCGCCAACCGAAAGACAATGTCATAAATCTTCGTGAACCCAAAACCGAATCAAGTCACGCATTATAATGATCCGATTGGATCAGAGCACACCACAATGTACTATCCGTACTTGCTTATAAATAGTCTTTAAATAGAATTTACTGGTACGACCTGATATCATTTCGAAACGTAAGTGGTACAGTTTTCTCTTCCTTGTACCAAAAAAAAAAACGAGGGGGAACGTTGTGAGTTGCTGCGGACACCGCAACTCTACAGTTATACCCGATACTAAGTCAGTATGGCTCTCCTCCGGCAGACGCCGCTAATATTAAACGACACGACAAAGAGTGCGTGCGAGAGAGACAGAAAATCAGTCTGAGCGTGACGTCGGGCGCTGCGTAGCCACTAAAAATTGATTTCTTGCTTTTGGCTACAAAAATGATCCGATCTGATCCAGATTCGGCAACCGGATAGATATGGTCATTGTCTATGATTCTGCGTTTTTAGTTTACTCGATTTTGCAATATTGTGGATGCAACAGATTTTCGTCCTTTGTGTGGGCGGAAGGGGGTGGGGCGAAATTTTGAGATATACGTTTTATAGTGAGATCTAACAGGAGTGCGGATACCAAATTTGGTTACTCTAGCCTTAATAGTCTCTGAGATTTATGAATATCCCCAGATCTGCATCCTTTGCGGGGGCGGAAGGGGGTGTGGCGAAATTTTGAAACAAACTCGTCTCGGTCCGATATATTAGGAGTGTGGATACCAAATTTGGTTGCTCTAGCTTTTATAGTCTCTGAGATCTAGGCGCTAATGTTTTACTCTAAGCAAAGCCGCCTATGCTACGTGTGTGTTAGAGAGAGACAGGGCGAGAAAAAATGAAATTGTTTTCTTGATGCTGGCTATAATAATAATACGATCCAATTCAGATTCCGCAGTCTAAAAGATATCGTCATTCTCTACGATTCTGCATTTTTGGTTTTCTCGTATCTTTAAAATTGTGGATGCCACAGATTTTCGCCCTTTGTGGGGGCGGAAGTGGGCGGGGCAAAGTTTTGAAATATTTTTGTAGCAGTGACATATCACAGAAGTCTGGATCCAAAACATCGTTGCTCTAGCTCTTATAGTCTTTGAGCATTAGGCGCTGAAGGGGACGGACAGACGGACAGACGGACAGACGGACGGACGGACAGACAGACAGGGCTCAATCGACTCGGCTATTGATGCTGATCAAGAATATATATACTTTATAGGGTCGGAAACGATTCCTTCTGGACGTTACACACATCCACTTTTACCACAAATCTAATATACCCCAATACTCATTTTGAGTATCGGGTATAAAAAAGAATAAAAAGACTGTGCCGATGAAGAAATGCCAAAGTGTTGAGTTTTTGGTCAAATTATTTTGGTATGCGCCAAAGACATGAACGGGAAATACTTTCAAAATACGTTTCTTGTTTGCAGGAAGGGGCTCTGTTCTTTGCGCTGGTGTTTGAGAAATTATATCGCAAAAGAAATAAAAATTCTTGCCATATTTGCCAAAAGGTTTGGTTTGGTTTGGTTTGAGAAAATGTTTACCGCTGAACGGATAGAAGGATGGAAGGAGAAGGTTAATTGCTGGATCGATCGGGTCATATATCTTTTGTTTGCGATTAGGGAATTTGAATGGAGAAAGTTGTGGCCGAAGAGGTTCCCAAAGAAGGCTCCCTTTGTGATCCGATCCGCCCTTCAAACGAAATACCAACAACGAATCAGTCAGAAGGAAGGAGTTTCGCCGCTTCGCCACATTGGAGCCGAGCCTGAGAACCTGGCAATAAAATGACAAAAGCAGCAACAGCAGCAGCAGGCAAAAGGCTGAAACCAAATTACTCACGGGACAGGCCACGCGGGGCTGTGGCAAATAACAAATCAAAATCAGTGACAAAATGATTTAGGAACCAGGCGAAAATGTTCACACGAAGCAGAGAGCGGGAGAGCCACAGAGGGCCAGCGGCAGCGTCAGAGTCGTAGACGGAGACGGAGTCAGAGTCCAAAAAGAAATCAAAGAACCGCACAAATCGAACAAGAAGTGCTGCCTGCTGTGGTCTTTGCTGCTGCTGCTGCTTATGCTGAGAGGCAGAAAACATGCAAAGATTCTGTTCGATATTGTATCCTTTTTGGCTGAGAATTTGTGGATTTGCTTCGTGGATGGGACTCATTGTTACGCGATGATAAAGATCATCAGAGTAAATCATGGGCCCGCCCCTCCTCTCTGCTTAAATGCTGTGCAATGCATGAACAAGTAGTTCGAGCAAATGGCATACACAGTACAGGGTTTTTCCCTCCCTACCCCTCACCCGGCCCACGTCTCGGGCTTCTCTTTCAGATTTTTCTACTAGGCGACAGTGACAGTCAATGCATATAAGACAATGGCAGAGGAGCTTGGTTATAAGAAGATTCCTCCAAGCTGGCTATGAATGAGAGGTTAGTAAACTCTTTTACTCTTTAGACTTAAAGCTCTGCATTCTACGCAGCTCCCATAGTTCCCAACAGCTTCCATTACTCTGAGTTAAATTTGGACTCGGTACCGAGAATGCAATAACAAAATACACACAGTGTGTGACTGCTGCTCGACTCCGAGTCTAAGCATTGCTTCACCGCTGCATTTACAGCTATGAATCGCACTGGTTTTGGCTGACACTGACTAATATTTATTGTTGAATTGCACACAATTCTAAGGAACCCATTCCCATTGAACTAAAGTATCATCCACTTTGACCATAATCAATTAGTGGAGATCTCAAGCAGTACACTCATCAGATTGCACAATCCATATAGTCATTACTGGAATGTAGCAGCTTTCTATTGCTGGACTTCAGACTTCAGCAGAAGGAGCAGAAGAGGTGCTCTCTACTGCTAGAATTTGTCTTTGATTTTTGTAAAAGGAGTAAAATAAAAGGTGTTCTACCATTTAGAAATCGTTCTGATCTCTACGGCAATCAATGTAGGGGTGCGCAATGTCCCATTAGAAAACGTTGGTCTCATTTATAAGCATACAATGTCCCTCCTACTTTTGGTAAAGGCCATACAGCAGTGTCATGTCTACTACTTTGTCTAATATTTCTTTAAACTACTTAAATTTGATGGTCAACATTGTCATACACTTTGAATATGTCCTCATCCTGTTTTAGTTCCATCACGAAATCCACGTAGCGTTTAAGGTGGCGCGGGGAGAGCGAAACCAAAGGCTCGTTGGGGCAATGTCCGATCTCCGAGTGATGGATTTTGTAGCCGCTTTGCTTAAGTTTTGCCGCCACGTCGGCCAATTCATTGGGCGGGCACTTGAAGACGACAAAGCCATTTTCATAGTCGCTTATTTCGCCGGAAGAGGCCTTGCACCACAGGGCATCCGTTTGGACGGTTTGGCTGAAGTCCGAGAAGTTAAGGCGCGTCTTGCGGGGCACAATGGCCTTGATGACGCCCGTTTCGGTGAACAGATGCCGATTGTAAAGCCGCGCCTTGTATCGCATCAGCAAGGGGGCCAGTCGCTGCTTCAGTTCCGCGAGGTTGTGCGTCCGAGCCTTGCACACGAGTGCCACCTGATCATCATTGTAATCGATGGGCACGATAAAGGTGGTCTGGTTCCGTTCGTAGAGCTCGCACTCCTTGAGGATCCTCTGGATGCGGCTGTAGGGCAGCTGCAGCGGGGACAGCTTGGCCCTCAGCGCGTAGTTGTGGTCGGGATCAGTAGAACCGCCACCGCGGTGCACCGCCAGCCGCAGTTCGTGGGCCACCTGCACCTCCTTTGGGGTATCCGGATCGAATTGCATTGGTTTTGTGCTCGACGGCGTGATGAAGGAGGGGCTCTTTTGGCTCAACTTACTTTTGCTTGGCCCTCGTTTGTCTTGCAACGAATCAAACGGGATATTCCAACGGACTCGCTTGCATTCCTCTCTGGACTCCTCCAGTAAATCTCCATCGAGGCCATTCCGCTTGTCCGGCTCCTGCTTGGGCGAGGAGCTGCGCACCAGACTGGGCCTGGACATGTGCGGCTGCATGCTGGCATTCAAATGCGGCAGTCGTTTGTTAGGCATTGTTCTTCGGAAAGAAGTACTTATAATTTTGGTCGGGAGTGGGTTGTTAAATGAAATATGGGGACTTGTGATGAAGGGAATTTCCAAGGGAACACACTGATACCTATAGATTTATTTTTATTACATCCACTCACCGTATCTGCTGCTGTTAAATTAATGCCCAATCCTCCTGCCCGCGTCGAGAGCAGAAATACAAAGATGTCCGCACGCGTCTGAAAGTCTGCCACCATATCGCGTCTCGCTGAGATCTTGCTGGAGCCATCCAAGCGCATATAACGATGCTTGCGATGCCACATGTACTCCTAAGAACAAAATACACATTATTCAAAGGTATATCAATCCCTTAAACAGCAAGCGAAACGCACCTCTAGCAAGTCTATCATTTTGGTCATCTGTGAATAGATGAGCACTCGGTGGCCCTCCGCCTTGAGGCGTGTGAGTAGTGTGTCCAGGACAAACAGCTTGCCCGCATCGGTGATCAGAGTCTCCTTGTCGGGCACCACAATCGCGGACCAACCACTGCGTGGCTTGCACAGAGCCAGACCAGAGGAGACAAGTTCTCTGCCTACGGCATTCTCGCACTGAACATGACGTATCTGTGTCCAGGCAGCAGCACGACTCTCGCAGCTAAAAGGAAGCCAGTAATCAGAAGAGTATTTCTATTAATTGTTGGGAAAAACTCACTATAAATGCCTATCCACTGCTTGTACGCGTTGACCCAAGCCATAGAGCAGTCGCGGCATGGACAGGGGCTCGCAATGATAGCTCCTGGGCTTCCTCAAACGATGCGGAAACTCTGGCAACAGCATCAGTGTTTGGACCTTAACATCGCTCTTGGCATTCGATTTGGTTTGCACTTCGACCGACTCTATTTCGAGCTCCTGCTTCACCTGTTCCTCCACTTCCACATCCACCAGCTCCTCAATCAGTGTGGATGTCTTTTGTTTGAGTATTTTGGAGCGTGTCACGCGATGCTCAATGGTCTCCTGCATGTTGTAGGTGCAGTAGTCCCCAAAGGAATAAACACTGCTCTCATTGGTGGTCTAAAGTGGGTATAGGGATAAGGATTACGATCTTCAAACGGAGGACAAAAACCTACCATCGCTGTAAAGAGGAAATTCTTGAGTACACTGTCCGATAGCATATAATGCGGCACCAGTTTGTTCTCCAGCATGGGCTCCAGCAGCTGATAGAAGGTGGCTTTCAGATGTGGCCACCATTGGCGGCGATACGACAGTAAAGGATATTTCTCCAGCACTCGACGATGATGCAAAAAACTGTAAAAGATGAGGAGAATATGTAGCAGAGGCAGGGATTCTCTTAGCCATTAGCTGCCTTACAAATCAATCAATCCATGCAGTGTGACGTCTAGAATATCCCCCAATGAGAGGTCACAGAAACGCGTGAAGCCAAAGCAGCTCTCGACGCTCACATCCTCGAATAGCGATCTCTGGATGTGCTCCGACTTAAAGATATTGAACCTATCACAAGAAAAGAATAGCATAAATAAACATAAAGCAAATCCTTAGGTATCTACCCACCGATTGTACAGCAAATGCCTACGACTGGGCAGCGATCTGTGGAGCAGTGCCTCATCGTGGACCAGGCGCGGCACCACATACTCCGCACAGCGCATGAAGAACGGACTCCTGGCATCACGACGCTCAAAGAGCTCTGGATGGTTGCACACCTTGCGGAACTGCATCACCAGATTCATCAGATTGGAGGACGCCGATGAAGGGGCACTCGAGCCACTCGTCAAATGCAGCAGATCCTCGATCCGAATCTTCTGCTTGAGGGCGCGATACAGCAGCTTTTGGCGTATGGTCAGGGGGCAGTAGACCATGATCTCGATCTTGTCCGACAGCTCGTTCTCCACATCTTTCTTGATGCGTCGCAGCATGAACGGCTTGAGGATCATGTGGAGGCGAGAGATCTGCAGTTCGTCGATGCCCGTCTTGTTCTCGGCGTGCGATTCAATGTCCTTGGAGAACCACTCGTTGAACTCGTCGTGGGAGTCGAACAGCGTCGGCATAATAAAATGCAGCAGTGCCCACAGCTCGGCCATGCTGTTCTGGATCGGAGTGCCGCTGAGCAGCAGCCGATTGCGACAGCTGAAGCCCAACAGCAGCTTCCAGCGCTGCGAGGCGGCGCTCTTGATGGCTTGCGCCTCGTCCAGCACCATGTACTGCCATTTGATGCGATTGAAGTACTTGTAGTCACTGACCACCAGCTGGTAGGAGGTGATCACCACATGGAAGCTGGCATCGCGCGTGTGCAGTTGCTTCTGGTCCCAGAACTGGCGCAGGATCTTCCGCTCGCTGGGCGAGCCCCAGTACGGGACCACATTGAAGTCCGGCACAAACCGGGACATCTCCTGCTGCCAGTTGTGCAGCGTGGAGGCAGGCGAGATGATCAGAAAGGGACCCCACACGCCATAATGCTCGGCAATGTGACAGAGGAAGGCTATGGACTGGACGGTTTTGCCCAGACCCATCTCGTCGGCCAGGATGCCGCTGATTCCCTGGTCGTAGATGTTTGCCAGCCATGTCATGCCCTTGATCTGATAGCCCTTGAGTGTGCCCTTGAACATTTGCGGCTGTGGCAGGTCCTTCATCTCGGCACGCGCCTCTGGCTCTAGGTCCTCCTCCTCTTCCTTTTTGGCGAACACATCGAAGGCCTCCATGGCCTCCTCCTCGTCGTCGCACTCCCCCCGTTTCTTGGGGAACACATCAAAGGCTCGCGTCTTGTCTAGATCTCTCTGCATGGCCGCCTCGGCGTGCTCCTTGGCCAGCTGCTTCATCTCCCCCGGATCGTAGTCATCTGGGACGGCCAATCGTGCATTGGTCTCCTCATCCAGCTGGCTGAGAATCCTCAGTTGATCCTCCTCCGTGCCCTGGCCCAGCTTCTTGGACATGAAGTGCGCATACAGCTCCGTCTGGGTGATCAAAAAGTTGAGCTTTCGCTGCTGTCGCTTCACCTCGATCAGCTCCACATCCTGCTTCCGTTGCTCCTCTGCCTCGCGCTCCTGCTTTCGTTTCTGGTCGCGCTCCACCCGCTCGTAACGCTTCCAGTAGGCCAGCATTTCGCGGGTGAGGCGCTTGGCTCGCCACACAGTCTCCTTCATTATCCGCTGCGAATTGATGGCCCGCTGGCGCACCACCTTGGAGCACATGGAGGCCACACGCTTGCAGTTGGCCAGCATCTCCTTGTGGTTGTTGCTAGTGATGCGCTGCAAGCGACCGCACTCCTTCTTCGACATAATCTGCCAGATGCGGCGACGTCGCGCGGCCAAGGCGGCGGGATTCTTCCGCTTGCGTCGCACTTTGGTCACCTGCCCATCGGGCCCGCCCACCACATCCACCTCCTCCTCGATCTCCTCCTCTTCGGGAAAGTCGAGCGCGAGGCTGGCCAGCTCTCGTTTGTAGTCGACCACGCCATTGTCGTCGTCCTCCTCGTCGTTGGTGGGCAGCGTGTCGCCATAGGTGTACCTTCCCAGCTCTGAGGGCGGCACCTCTCCGGATTCTGGCGAGTTCATGATAGTCGTTTGCTTCTTGCGTCCGCGACGTTTCTTTGGTTTCGGGAGCTTCGGGGCCTGGGCCTCTGCCAGGCGGGCCATGAGTATCTCCTGTTTGGTGCGACGCCTGCGCTTGCGCACACCCGCAGTGGCCTGCTGCCGCTCGGCATAGATGTCATGGTTGGACAGCAGACTGCTGCCGTAGTAGGCATATTGGGCATTCTGTGGGAATCGGATCAAAAGGGGATTAGCACGTGGAATCTCCTTCAATTTGGGGCTCCTACCGTGGGCTTCTTGTAATAGTTCTTGCGCTGACGCTGCTCGCGTATATGCTCGCGCAGTATCTGATGGATGTACTCGTCCTCATTGGTGACGGCCTCATCGCTCTCCGTGTCACTCAGTAGGAGATCGTACAGCCACTCCCTGTCGCTGGTCAGGTCATTGAAGTTGTACAGCTGCGCCTTGACACTCTGTCGTTCTGGTGGGTCAAACACAAATCAATGCCAGACACTCCTTTCCCCTTTCCCTGCCCCCACACTCACCTTCTTTGCTGCAAAACAATCGCTTCTTGCAGCGCTGCGACGCCTTCTTGCACTTGACCACGCCCACCGTGGAGGAGTCATCGGAATCGGATTCGGGCTCTGCTTTCAGCTGTGGAAGCCCCGGTTCGTCCGTGTCGCTTTCATCGTTGCTGCTGCTCAGCGGCTGCTTGAGCACCCGCTTGGCCATTTCCATGAAGGGCCGCATATTGAGGGCCACCTCCAGGCGCTGTATGTGCGGCGGTTCGGCCATGATGCGGGTCTTTATGTCTCTGTTGGTGCCGCTGGCCATGGCGCTGCTTTTAGTCAGCTTTTATGCACAATTATCACGTAATTTGCAAGATGGTTCGCCATGCGTCCGTCCCAGGGTAAACAATTCCACGCATTAGTGTGGCCGAAGTTTGCGCCGGCATTGCAAAAATACTGTTAGGGATGGCTAATAAATATCGATATACGTATTGGTATTTTTGAACGATATTTAGATGCACGCCTGCATACGAAGAGGCAAGAAAAACAAATAGACATAATGTGGCGTTTGAATCTGATAAACACTATTGCCGATCAGGCCAATTGGATAATTTCCTCGGATGTGGCCATTGTCATAGCCGATAAGTATCCGAAAGCGCAACATCACTATCTGGTGCTGCCCAAGGCGGAAATTTCGTCCGTTTTTAATGTAAGGCTAAACCCCCGCCGCATACACCCAATGGAATGCATCTAAGATATCTGTTGTTGTTTTTAGCTGACCCGAGAGCATTTGCCACTGTTGGAGGAACTGCATCTGCTGGCCCGCAACGTTGTCGAAGTGCGCGGCCAGCAGTGGAATGACTTTAAGGTAGGCTTCCATGCCGAGCCGAGCCTGGAACGCGTGCATTTGCATGTGATATCCCAGGATTTTGTGTCGCCATGTCTAAAGAGGAAAAAGCACTGGACCTCCTTCAACACGGCACTGTTTGTGCCATACGAAGGTAAGAGAACCAACCCCACCCCCACCAATCGTCATAGATGCAAGCAAATCTTTTTCTTTCAGAACTGCGCGACAAGCTTCAGTCGGAAAACAGTTTCCAGCGCCTGCCGCCGCATGCGTACCATAAACTGCTGGACTCACCGCTTCAATGCAATCAATGCGAACGGATATGCATAAATTTGCCCAAACTTAAGGAACACTTGCTGGAGCATCTTCTAAATAAGAGTAGTATTTGACGAGGCTGCAAAAGACGGAGACAGCAGAAGAGAGAGTCAAACCGCTAATAGCCTCTGCACACTGAGCCCATCCCGGGGGAATGGTGGGATTTTTTGACAAATGTGAAACTCCGATTCACACTGCCACCATCCACCATCCACCATCCAACATCCATCAAAAACAGCTGATGCCAATAACAAGTTCATTAAATTTGCGCGGAAGATTTATTAAGTTTATTATTTATTTATTTAGTTTAAAGTACAAGGACATATTTTATGGTTTTAGAAGCGGTTCGGGACATTTTGGGAGAAAGATGTACCAGAAAACAACGAGGCGTTTTTCAAAGAGAGTTTCCGAATGGAGAGGCACTGCTTTGATATTTTAGTGAATCGGCTTGAAGTGCTGCGAAAGAAGGACACCAACTGCCGAGCTGCAATTCCTTTGGAAAAGCGCATCGCCATTGCGCTATACACTTTGGGCTCGTCCTCTGAGTACCGAACAGTTGGCAGGCTTTTCGGTGTAGCTCCAAACAGTGTGTGTAATATCCTGCACGAGTTTTGCAGAGCACTTATCCGAGCCCAGCCTCCTTCATGGACTCGGCCATCTCCATGTACACATGTGAATTTTTGCGTGGTCCGCGCAAATCTTCAATTTTCTCCTGCCATATGTCAACCAGCAGGCACTCAAGCGCGGCACTCCATTTCACCCTGCCGCCTGCTGTTGTTCTCTTGTTTGCTGCATTGTGTAATAATATTATATATTATAAACAATAAAAAACAAATATATCTATTCAACGTACCACTGGAGGAGTTTTCTGGCACTAAATCCATTTTATTAATAAGTTTTTGGTCTGCTGTCCTTCGGAGCTGTTCTGTTGTTGTTTTTGTTTTTTGTTAATTTTGTCACAATCATTGTTTACGTTTTCGCAGTGAATACCATTTTTCCATTGTGAATGACAATTATTCAGAGTTGCATTTGAAAACCATCGGCTAACTATCGCATAGAAACGTGCGGTTTAGGAACATCCAAAATGGATGGTGGACTAACTGGGAAATTTTCGGAACGGCAAAACCTTACGGACCATCCCCGAAATGGATGGTGGATGGTGGATGGTCGTCAGTGTGAAAAGCCTATAAGGCATATACTTCTCTCGCTCTCTGGGCGTCTAAATATCGGTGCATTCACGCAAACATATCGATAGATTTGTGTTGGTGTTGGTGGTTCAAAACGTTTTTCTTGAACTGAAGGCTGTCTCTGTTTTTTCCAGTGCAGCTAGTTCGCTCCATAAGAATTTTGGATCCAGTGACTCATGGCTATTTTTTTTTACCGGCAGACGGACAGCAGAAAAGTGTGATTTACACGAAAATTGAAACATCCAAAGACAAAATTAACATAATGGACGTCACAGAGAAAAATAAAATAAAAATGGATCATATAAAGCAGAACATACGCAACGAACTGAGGAAGAAGATTTTGGACAAGAATCACATTCTTATCGAAAGCGACAGGGCGGTGGTGGTAAAGGCCGACTATCCCAAAGCGCAGTACCACTTTCGTGTGGTGGCCAAAGAGGATATCGAGGATGTGACCAAGGTAAGCGACTATCCATTTTAGTCTCAAAATACTGATAATTTGGTTCTGCCAACAGCTGACCAGCGATCATCTGCAGCTGCTGGACCACATGATGGAGCTGGCCGTCCAGATCATTGGGAAGCAGGACCACTTGCCGTCACGCAATTTTCGCATTGGCTTCAAGGCGGACCCGTTCTGGGACCGGCTGAACATGCACGTTATATCCGATGACTTCTACTCCCTGTCGATGAAGCGCATCAAGCACTGGAACAGCTTCAACACCGAGCTGTTCCTGCCTTTCCAACAGGCCTACATGATGCTGGACAGTGAGGGCGCTATTGAGACCCTCTCCGAGGTGGAGTTCCAAAAGCTGAAGGAACAAACGCCTCTTCACTGCAATCAGTGCGACTTTCAGTCCCCATTGTTGTTGGCTCTGAAGGCCCATCTCTTCACTCATTGGCAGGACAAGGAATCCGAACGTCGGACAAAAAAGCAAATGGAAGATATTGTCAAGTTGCTGGACGAAGCAAAACTGGAGGACACCGCCAAGCCGGAAGCGGCATCATCCCGCGAGGAGCACGAGATCACCGCCAGCACCAGTCAGAAGTCTATGGATCAGAACCAGGCAGTGGGTGCCGATGCCAATGCGTACCACCAATGCGGGCCACTTGTAAACTTGATGAATCTGCAGCACATCAATAACCCATTCAGAAACACGCCGGCTCGTTTCGGTATAGCCGCGAAGACTCATCCACAGCCTACAAATTCCATGTATGCACCGCGTCCACATCGGGCCGGCAACCCCTTGGCCTATGCGCCGCGACCACAGCAGGGCGGTAACCCCTTCAGAAACATGCCGCCGCGTCCACAGCTGGGCGGAAACCGCTTCGGACCGCATTTAAATCGCTTCGGACCGCAATCAAAGGACATGATGCCTATGTTTGCTGCACCCAACCAACAGCCTAGATTTGGTCCAAAACAACCACAGAATCATCGTCCTCGTGCTCCAAATCAACCACAGAACCAGCGTCCTCGTGGTCCAAATCAACCACAGAATCAGGGGACTCGTGCTCCAAACCAATCGAAGTTCCAATAGAAAAACAAACCCAAAAACAATAGTAACAAACCGGCTGCCAATGCGGGCCAGCCTGCACTGATGTAGGGGCTACATCGATCTTGCAAGCAAGGTAAAAGACGCCTTCTAGCGTGTGCCTTATAAATGGTAACAAAATCTATAATTTTTATTTCTGAAATACTGAATCCGAGACTAGAAACTATATATCGAATATAATACCAAAACGAAACTAAAACTCATACAGGAAACCATTGCAAAAGCAATTTAGGATTAAATCAGCATTTTTTATAAGGAACGACAATAAGTTAGCGTTCATTCCATTTAGACTATCTGCCAAAAACATAAACTTCCTATACAATCAAATATGTTCAAAAATAGATTACAAATCGAATTTGATGTAATTATTTGTATGCCTAAATGTCAAAGGTTTGTCTCAATAAATATCAGACATTACAAACGCCACGAATCATCCAAGCAAAGTTTAACATATAACAGTCCGAACAAAGAGAATCCCGAGGGCCCTAATGTGAATCATCATCTAATTGGAAGATTGTAAGGAATCGCATGTTGACACCCACACTTGAAACAACATTCGAATTGTTCAGTTGCTGGATAAATATTATATTACACCTGGCATTAGCAGTAGCAGAAGCATTAGCTGGAACTGCCACCCCCTGTGGAATTTGAAACAGTTGTTAAATTGTAATTCCGATTATGAAAAATGAAGAAAGTTGCCCTCGAAATATTATCATTTGTTTAAACGGCAGGAAATTAACTTTTCTTCTGTCAAAAGCTGCTCTGTTCTCTAGGCCTTAGTTCGGCTTAATTATGGCCACATTTTCCATTAACTTTACTACTTTACAGTGCGGAACACATACACACTTGAGCGGAGGAGATACATAAGTTGTCCGTCAGCATAGGAAAACTCAAATCAAATTCAAGGTAGCTCTGAGCGCAGACACACAGAGTGGCTCCGGCTAATGCCATACGGTACGTAATTTTAAATTCTTCTCGACATTTTTTAGTGTGTCACAGTGTCAAGGTGTCTGCCAGAGCCAGAGCGCTGAAAGCTATCACATCCCACCCCCCATCGATATGGTTTTCGGGGGTGCATCTTTGAGCAATCAACAGCTCCATTAAAGCTATCTTTCTCTCTCTGTGGAGCCCCTTTTGCCACCTGTTATGTCTCGAGCAACAGGAGGCCATTCATAAAGAACGTTACTTTCGAGCCAAAGAGAGCAGGCGAAAGCTCTCTTTCAGGGGGGTAGCCAAGAGCACTGAGTGGACTTTGGAGTGGCTATGCCAGGCGCATGCTCGCAGACTTCGAAGCTTTTGACATTTGAGAAAAGTTTTTGAGCGGAAGGGGGCGAGATGTGCGCCTGTGATTGCCATTTGGGGGAGTGGGTGGCATATGAGAAGGAAATTCTTGTGGTATTTTATTTTACAGATTTTGTGGTTTAATGATCTGTAAAATTAACAACATGTGGTGTTAATTTGTTAAACATTTAAATGTACATATTTTGTGATTATTTTTTTTGGTTCACAAAAATGCGAAAAATTGGCCAGGAAATAGCAAAAACTGTTACCAAAAAATGGAACTCCTTATAGTCCTAGAAATTTATAAAGAGTTAATCTTAAGAAACTGTTCCGAACAAGAAGATTAAAGGAAACTCAATTTAATTTATTTCAGATATATTAAATATTTTCCAATTATATTCCTGTTTATCCCAATTGGTATTTTTTAGATTTAAAAATGCGGTCTATTCTTCAGAATATAACACAAAAATGTTACCAAATATTAAAATAATAATATTTCCAGAAATTACCAAATATTTAAGCTTAAGAAAATTCAACAATTAATAGGATTAAAAGAAAACTCATTTTATTTTATTTCAGCAATTCAAAATATTTCGCAAAAAATCCAAGTTCTTCAAAGAGCAACCTTTTGAAATGTTCATTTAAATTCTTCGACTCTCGCTGGAAAACCACGAATTTTCTTCTGAAATATTCATAAATTGTATGGTCCGTGGATTGGAGTGCACATGTGAGCATGAATGGAACTGTGTGTTTCCCTCCCATTCACGTATAAAATGTTATTTATATGCTGATGATTTTTCGCTAGCTCCTGCGCCATTCGGATTGGGGTTTCATGTGGAATAATCCTTTTCGCTGACATTACTCCGAACGGAAATACAACGAAACAACCCCCAGACAGTCAGGAATAATGCCAGAGGACATGGGCTCAACATCAATTGTACGATTTAAGCAATTTGCAATTTCTGTGGGGGCCAATGGAAGGGGGCAAGCAACTTCAATGGCGTCAACGAGCCTCAATAATAATAACTTTTCATAGCGCCCCATTATCGTTAAGCGCGCCGAAAACAGTGGAAAACAAGTTATAATGATTTTTGTTTGGACTGAAAGATACCCGCTACAGAGTCTGCTTCTCTTAAACGTTTCATACCACACAAGGAGTCCAGTATGCACCCTTTTTCTTGCTCAATCTTCTTAGAAATGTTCACTCATCCCTGAGGAGCGCTTGAAGGAGCTCTTGCCATACATAACTTTGCACTGTTTGACTTACCCTTCTCTTCGAATGCACACAACACATGCCCTGACAGGCTCCAAGACTCCTTCCTGCTATGCAATCTCCCCTGCTCCTCCCCCTGCTGCCTTTGTCCTCGGTGGTCGGGTCGTATGAGTAATATGCCAATTACACATTTTGTGCATTCTCCTGTTGCTTGTTCGCCTCGATTCTTGTCTTTTATGCTCCTCTACCTCTACCCAGCGCTGTAAAAATATTTATACTGGTGTCCTTGCGTGGCAGAGGGCAGGATGTGGTATCATTGCGTATACGAGGTGATGGCTTCAAGCGGCTTTCAGCAGGGCTAAGCTTTTGCTGAAAAGGTGAAAGTAGTAAAAATGTTTAGAGCTTCTAAAAACAGAGACAAAGACGATTGGAAATATCTAAGGAAATATATCATTTTTATGGCTATGTTTTTACGAATGTAACGTTAGGGATTTGCTGGCAAAAAAAAACATTGATATGACGTGTGGATACCAAACTATTATTCACACCTTGATCTACATAGTCCACTGAACTTTTTCCCATTAAATATTCCCCCATATATAGGGGCCCATGGGCTCTTATAAAAACTTTGGCACACCAAAAGAATAATTTTAGTAAGCAACATGAAGTGGCTGTCTTTTGTGCTGCCAATTCTTTTATGGCTACCAAATCTTTGGGCTGTCTATAATCCTTATAGAAGAAATTTGGAGCTGCTATTCCAGGAGCCCAGTGCGGGATCTTATACCAAAAACGATGCCGTTTCGGTGGAAGAACTTTGGTTGGAACAAAAAGTTGATAATTTCGATGCTCTGAACAATCAGACCTGGAAAATGGTAAACTCTGATCATTCTAACATCTCAAAATCCATAGAAAACATGTGTTTTTATAGCGCTATCTACGCAATGGCAAATATCATAGGAATCAAGGACCCATCTTCATATTTGTGGGCGGTGAATGGAGCATTAGTCCGGGTTTTCTGAGCACAGGTCTCACCCACGACATGGCTGTGGAAAATTCGGGAATGCTGTTCTACACCGAACATCGTTACTATGGACAGAGCTTGCCCCATGGGTGGGTGTGCTTACTGATACTTACAGATAGATCATCTTTTAATGGCGTCTTTTTGTGGAATAGAAAGGAGAGCTTCCGTGTGGATAAGCTGCAGCATTTGAGTATCTATCAATCCCTGGCAGATTTGGCTCACTTCATACGCTTTCAAAAGTCGGAGAATCCTCGAATGAAACAGTCGGAAGTCATATTAGTCGGTGGTTCATATTCGGGCAGCATGGTGGCCTGGATGACACAATTGTATCCCGATTTGATAGCCGCCAGTTGGGCCTCAAGTGCCCCACTGCTGGCCAAAGCGGATTTTCATGGTGCGTCGCTAAAATCGAAGAGAGATTGCCTAGAGATTCTGTAATCTTTCCTTTCTTTCAGAGTACATGGAAGTGGCTAGCAATTCGATTCGCTTAAGTTATGGTCAAAATTGTACTACCAGAATACAGAAGGGTTTTCAGCACTTGACAAAGTTGTTTGAAGAAAATCAAATTCCGGAATTACTGCAAAAACTCAATGGCTGTGAGGATTATGAACCCAACGATCCCCTGGATAGAGCTGCCTTCTTCAATGGCTTGGGCAACTATTTTGCTTTGATTGTGCAGAGTTATAGGTGGGGGCAAAGGGCTATCAAAAAAGCTCTTTATTGGCTTAAATAATCTTCCCTTTTTCAGTTCATATATTCCACAACTTTGCGACACTTTAATGTCTTTGAACTCCAACGATGAAGTGGCATTTGAGGGTTTCTTAGAACTACTCTTTGCAGAAGGCAGAAGGTCGACAGATTGCCAGGACTTTGGCTATGGGGCCATGCTGCAACTATTCAGCGATCCAATTTCAGGCAGTAAGTACCTTCAAAAGCCCCAAAACAGAAACACTCTCTAAGGTAATCGTATGACAGTTCGTGCCTGGTTCTATCAGACATGCAATGAATTTGGCTGGTACTCGACCACAGCCACAAGCGATTCATCATCCACCTTTGGCAATCAAGTGCCTTTGTCCTACTACGAGCGTCTCTGTTTGGATGCATTCGGTCCAGAACAGACACGGGAGAAGCTAGCCCAGGGCATTGAGCAGGCCAACAATCACTTTGGTGGCTACCATTTCAATCAGAGTGAGCGCTATGGAGAGGTATTCTTTACGCACGGCCAGCTGGATCCTTGGCGCTCTCTGGGCAAGCAAAAAGGCAATCAGGCCATTGTCTTGAGGGGTAAGTGAGGGAGAACCCAAGCGAAGCGAATCCCTGATGATTTGATGGGTGTCTCTTCCACACAGGCTACTCGCATTGCGAGGATCTTGGCGGCATTCAAGTAAGGGACAGCGTGCAAATGAATCTGGCCAAACTGCGTGTGATGTCCTTTCTGCGCCGTCACATATAAATTGCCACCGGGATATGCTCATCCATGATTAATTATTTAATAAACATATAAGTCATGTGCCTGTCCCGGCCTTTGTCAACAAGTGTCCTGCGTCTCGAGTGTGTCAACAACTTTGCTGTTGATTAAGAAAATTGCACTTACCCTCTGGCTTGTGCATTTTCCCTGCTTTTGTTTGTCTTGGCTTGATTGGTTGATTAAGGATCCCTGCCCCACCCCCACACGGTTACCTTAAGGTAAAATTTATCTCTTTTCGAATTTTAACGTTTATCAAAAGCTTTAGCCCCCTCCCCCATTTGTGTGCCCATTTGAGTGCAACGCCAACGCATCATAGTCCTTGTCGAATCAGAGCCGTCACCTTCTGCTGTGCGTGGGCGCCTGGGACTCGGGTACTCCAAACTATTGGATACATTCCCATGGACGTTCGCAGGACTCACATTTCTGCGTGGGCTGTGTGGTAATGGGGCGGGCCGGCTTTCGACTCGAGCGCTCTTTCACTCGTAATTTATTTACATTTTCCTCGGCTCTGAGTGTCTTTACAGGAACCGCCTGGCGCCACTCCTGGCGATGCTGTGTGTGTGGCTTTTTCGTGCTAATTAATATTTGTTGCTCCATTAATTTGGTAAATTACTGGGAGTCTGCTGTGTGTTGTGTGTGCTCCAAGTGGTGAAAGGATTATCAGAGTGGTTTGTGCTTTCTGCGAGGACAAATTAAGAGAAACTTTCTGTGCAGCAAACATCATATGTGCAGTAGAAAAAGTAAGACTTTCTCTAACCAATCTCTAAGCCCTGGCAGGGCCCTCCAAGGCTCCACTAACTAATTGAAACATAATCCACTCAATTTGTTTACCCAAAACGTATCCATGTCCCAAAGTCGGACCATCGCTGAACCGCTCCTGGCCCATGCCGCTGCCAAACAGCAGGCAAACAAACAAACAAGAGGCATGCCACATGGCATGGCATGGCAGGTGCGGTGCTGCTCCAGTGCCCTGCGAGTGACATTCGAGTGGTTACATTCCACTCACGTTTGCACTCCACTCAAAATGGTCCTGCGTAGGCGTTTGTCCTTATAAAAGTCGATGCCAAACCGCTCAACGCTTCAGTCGAGTTTGAAACTTACACTCAAGCGGAGTTGTAAATAGTTGTTCGAGTTGTTGGCTCGTACTCAAACGTACTGTAACACCAAACAAATATTACATTTAATCAAATATAAAATAAAATAAAATAAAATACTATATATATTAGCCATAAAAAAACTGGATATTTCCATCTATTCCGCGTGTGTGTGTTTGTCTGTGGAAAGGACTTGAAAAGTGACTTTGAAAACTCTTGTGTTTTACCAACGGAAAGCTGAAAAGAAAACTCTCGGTGTGCCAGTGTGTGTGTGTGTGTGCGGAAAATGGTTCTTCATTACCTTTAGGCTTTTTTCTTTCACTCTGTTGCTCGGCCTGGCCCCCCAGGTCTGTTGCTGGTTTTTCTTGGTGTTTTTTTTTCTGGTTTTCTGGTTGAAGCCTAGGCCTCGTTAGTCCTGGCCTCCCATGTTCCTTGATTCTCTTCGCATTCATTGCTTTTAGGCCATGCTTCCATGCGTTCACATTGCGTATACGCCGTGTAACCATGATTAAAGTTGAGTCTACGGAGTGTTCTCATGCTTCAAATTGAGTGTACACCTCACACATTGCCCATGACTTGCGATGAGTATTCGCCGTACACGCCGTGTTTCCGTGCCGTAGTATATCCAAGATTGACATTGCGTTTATTCCGTGCCTCTCACTGCCTCCACCTGGCCCCTGTCTCTGCTTTCCTCTCATTGCGTATACGCCGTGTGTGAGCCTCTGTGAGCCTTCGTGTGCTTTGAATAACAACACGCAGTTGTTGATTGTTCCCCCAACCTCCTGCGGCACCCTCCCTTTTCCTTTCTTCTGGGGATCTGCTGTTAAATTATGCATTAAGAAAACCCCAAGCGCCCGCCCCAGCACACACAAAAAATGAAATATAAAGAAAAGAAATGGTTCTAAAATGCTGTCGTTGTCTGGGTTGTCCACCATCCACCCTCCGCCTCGACCGACCGTATAGTACGAGTAAATTATGCAAATTAATGTTTGTTTGTGATTTGGGCAGGCTCGCAGTAAGGCCGTAAAAGATTTTCAGGATTTTTCTGCAGCCCAAGAAAATTATTGTATCTTTGCAAATCTTTAAAAATTGTAGGGCGACAAATGCCTACAAAGAGAGAGAGAGAGAAACCGAAAAGCCTGGGGTGTGATTTCTAGTAGCTAAAAATATAGTTGCCAGACCACAAAATCTTGAGTGAATTTCTTGGTGTTCCCAATTTTCATTAGAATCACATGCAAAAAGGGAATTTTCATAGAATTTTTGGAGAAATATTTTATAGCCAGTTCAAGTGCTTTTCTTCATTAAAAAAATATTCCTAAAATTAGTTTTTGCTGTTCATATTTTCGGTTGGCCCGAAATTCTAGTAAATCCACTAGAAATTGCAGTTCTTTTTCCCCAAACCCAATTTTAATTGCTTGGTAAATCTTTCTTTTACGATTTGATTTTTTCCCAATTTTTTAACAAATTGCTTTTTGCTCTTTTGGTCGACCTCAGAGCCGATACCGACGACCGATTCGGGCCATTTGTGCCGGCTTATTTGGCCACATTTTCGGCACCTTGGTCATAATTCACTTAACTTTTCTGTTTGCTTGGCTGTTGGCTCTAGGTCTGTCCCTGGCGATGGTTCTGTCTCTTGCCTTGGCTCTGGCTATGATTCTGTCTCTTGCCCTGGCTCTGGCTATGGTTCTGTCTTTTGGCCTGGCTCTGGCTATGGTTCTGTCTTTTGGCCACCTCTGTTTGTCTGCAGGTCTCTGGTGGCTTATACAGCCAACATTTGGCTGTGGCTTTTAGTTGTCTTCAGAGCCAAATGTTTGTCTCTCTCTCTCTCTTTCAATCGGTGTCTCTGCTGGTGCGTGTTTCCTGGTGGAGGGGCTGGTGTTTATGAAATCGGCTGAGAGAAGCCAGAAGTTTCATTTTCAGTCTATTAAAGTATTTTTATGTTCATTGTCTTCCGTCCTTATTTTATTGGCACGAGGGCTGAGAGGTAGTTTATGTCTGCCAGGGAATTGTAACAAGACTTTACGGTTTCATAGTCTCCAGGGAAGAAGCCTGTTTAAAATGCAGAAAATTCAAGTTGAGCAAAAGTTTTTGGCACTTGGAAAACCGGGAATCTATGGTCTTCGGAAATGTTCAACGTTTCCGAACGTGCTCAGGAATAATGATAGAGTGCCCCGGAAAGACTCCTGCAAACGGAAAAGGACTAATTAAAAAGCTTTTGGCCTGCCTGTTGGACGCTTCTCGCCTGCCTTTAACTTTTCCTTCTCCGCTTTCCTGTCCCCCAATTGTGTGGCAAGAGGGGGGCCAAAACTTCTCTCTGAAAAATTTGTCGTGTGTCCAATTTTGATTGCCCCAAAAAAAAAAGTTGAAAGACTTTTTCAACTTTTACTCGAAAAGGGCAGCGTTAGGGAAAAAGTAAACCAAAGGGTTAGCTTGGCTTTAATTAAAGGTTCCGTCTATGTCTAGGGCATTCTCTCCTTTCGTTTTTCGTATGTGTTTTGGGTACTCTAGAGAGTCATTAAGAGTCGGTCGGGTATCCATCTGAAAATTAAAGGGAAAAAGGGTTTTCCCTTCCCCCCAAGGTGTGGTAAAAGAGCAGCAGGGAAAAAGTTAAAGTTCGTTAAGCTGATTAGACGACAGCGGCCTCGGCCTCGGCCTCGGCCTCGAGTTGCCTTTTGCCACGCAAATTGCCACCCAAAAGGACACTTTGGATGATCCTGGGGTGTTGACTTCTTCTGAGGTCTTTTTATTAAATTTTCAGGCAGATATCTGGTATTCAGTTGCACTTTTATGGGTCATACGGTTTTAATAATTATAATTATATATTATTATATATTATATTATATAATAATAAATTACTTCTTTTAGTTACAAATAAAACCTACCAAAAATTTTGTGCAGACCTAAAATTGAGGGGATTTTCGGGCCTTAGAACGTGGACATAAAATTTGAGTGAAAATAGTGTATGAAATGACAGGAGATTTGCATGACATAATAATATATTAATTAAATCTATGAGATTTCCAACAAAAAAACACTTAAAACATTTTTAAACCACAAAAAATCTATTATATTCTCCCACTAATATTCCCCGTTTTTCTGCCTCTTTTCATTGCAGTGTAGAAAAATGTAAAAAGTCGACTAAAAACATATATCTATATATATACATATAAATATTTGTTTGCCTGCAGAAATTCTTTTAAATTTTTAAGTTCCAACAAAACGACAAAAAAACCAACAAAAAACAACAAAACGACAAAAAACGAATACGAAAGTTAAGGCTTGCTAAAATACACATAAACCAACCGTAGAAAGCAACGTAGTAAACGAAACGAAAATATAGAAAAGTAGGGAATAGAGAGAGAGAGAGTGGAGAAGAGGAAAAGAGCTAATTCCTGGTGCGTATAACTCCATTAGAGGAACAATTAGCATAGTCAAGGACGACGCAACGAGAAGTGCCAACGATAATTCAATCAAAGACCCAGAAGAAGTTGCTTGAAAATCATCCTGCTCCAGTCCTGCGGCCTGGTGCTGCCTCCTGCCTGAAAGCGGACTAAAAACGAACTGGGGAAACTGTGGAAAACTCCATCGAAACACTCGGATAAAGTGGAAAACGTGTGCGTGCGCGTGTGAAAAAGTTTTCTCTGGTATCCTGGTATCTGGGCGAGAGTGTTTTAATTCGAACACTTGGCAAGTTTTCCCTCCCTCTCCAACCATCGTCCGTCCATTCGGAAAATGGACCGTCACCGACATCGCCATCGCCTCAGCATGTGGCCCACGTTCGCCGTCTGTCTGCTGCTCCTGCAGGCGACCACAACCACGATGGCCATCGATCTGAGTCGCCTCTACGGCCACATGGCCAATCCGGTGCAGAAGCGTAGCGGTGAGTATCCATCACCCAGTATCCCAGAGCCTCTACCCTTCTAATCGAACAGTAATGCCATTAAACAGTAATTTGGTTGGGGGCTAGCTCATTAATATGTGCAAAGGAGGCATATGTGTGGGAATGTGTGGGGATGTGTGCCTGGAGGTGCATTCGGTGTGACCTTTCGATGGGGTTTAAAGACTACGAAGGGTTGAAAGGTTAGGTAAACACAAAGAATGCCAGACACATGCCAAACCATACAGTAGATCCTTCATTGATATATGAACATTCTTTGGAATATTGAGTTCTGTTAATTGTTTTATTCGTCGTTTCTTTCGTGTATTATATATGGATTATGTAGCGGACTTCAGCCAGTGAGTGCTGTTTTTTGGTCTGTAAACATTTCGTGTTTTCTTTTCTCTTATAATGGCATAAAATTTGCTTCCAAATCATTTTGGTATATATTGAACAAGACCATATCTAAGTCGACCTCCATCTCCACCCAAGGATTGCCGGGCTGCTGCTCAGGTACTGGCAGGTTCTGCTCCTCCTGGTTTTGGACTACCACAGGATTCTGTTCCTGCTGGACTGCAACTACAGGGTTGGCATCCTCGACGTCCGCGACGTTGGCCACTTCTTCGGGCTCCTCCACCCTCTCTATCCAGTGCGGTATTAGTTCAAGAGGCATATTTTTATTGCAAAAATTTCAATAAATTTCAATTTCGATAAGTTTTAGATATTTTCAGAGAGACTTCTACAACCAGACTGATATTTGGAGAGACGAAACCAAACCAAACCAAACCAAATGAATCTTATGTCAAGGCCTACTTTTCTTCAACTATGCTTAGATTTTAGTGTCAAAATTGAAGAGAGAAAATATGATTATTCCATTGAATGCAAAGCCTTTCTTCTTTTTAGCGATAGAGCTCGATTCCACGGTATTCCGCATTTGAAGGCACAATTGTGCATGTCCGATCGTGTCGGCAAACTCCGGCTCCCCCTCTAGCCTCTTTTTCATGTATGAGCTTTGCCTCGCACACACACACGCACTCACACACTCTCCCAATTCCATGCGGTCGATTGCATTCACTCTCAGCTATGCCTCCAACAACAACAAAGCGCTCGACTCTCGCTCTCTGGCCATCCATGCTCTCTTGAAATACGGAACTCTTGGATTGAAGCAAAAGCGCAGTAACCAACGGAACCCTTATTTTCTCGGCGTGGATTTGTTTTTGTTTCTATTTCATTAATTGCTTTACATATGACTGATTGCTCTTCAAAGTGCACCTACATGGCTCTGGCTGAGAGTTATGCAAAGAAAATTATAGTATTTCAAGACTTGACTCGCGAATTTAGGCTTCCCTTGCTGTTATTGTTTTTTCGTCCAGAATGACCTTCATTTGGGAGTAGGGTCATCCGTTTTTTTTTTTGTAGCCGCACAATTTGTATTCTCACTCACTGTCTGTCCCTTATTTATTGCCCTACTTGTTTTGTATTACCATTAAATACATTTTCACTAGTTTTTCTAGGCTTTCCCCCCGAATTTGTTTCTAATTTATTTTCCCCAGTTTTCCTATTTTTTCCCCCATTTTTTTCGGTTGGCAGGTGAACTGCATAATAAATGTGCACGTGCTTTTCTATATTATATTATTTCTATTGCAAATGCATTCTTACTGGTATTCGCTTTTCTTTTTTCCGCTTTCCCCGCCCCACCGAAAACTTTTGCCAGTTGCGTGCTTGATGGAAATCTTTTGGTTCTTTCGCTAAAGTTTTTGTGTAAATCGTGGCTTGGGTTTTGTTTGAGAATTTTTTAATTGCCTTTCGAATCAGTGGGTTTTTCCCCGCCTCGCTTCGTGCTGGCTTTTTACACAAAATTAATTAACACCCAAATAGAGAGAGAGAGAGAGAGAAAGAGTTGATTTGTGGCATTTGAAAAATTTCATTCTATAACTAAATTATTTATTGGGTGAACCTCATTATGACACTTTCCCTCACTCCACCATTTGCCATTCATAGAACTAATTAGCACGAAAGTGGCTAACTAAATATTTGCCCAACTTAATTTGTAGCACTTTTGTGTACGAGGGTACTTCAATTAGTCAGTACCTCAATTGGCCATTAATTGAGGTCCACTTGCCGTCGCACGACATCGCATCTCATAAATATGCATAGCATAATTATTCTATTATACTAATTTCATGGATGCTCCATTAAACACGGTTATTTAATGCTAAAATAAACCCCATGAATTTATACGGTTTTTGTGTTGAAGTTTTGCTGCATCGGACAGCTTCCTGGCGGCTTTTCCACCTGAGCAACGGAAGAGCAGTACTTAATTTCCTACGTTTTTTTTCCTAGATGTCAATTGCAGACATTGCACTTTAGTAGAAGTCACTGGCAGGCCAGAGAAATCCATTTTCTGCCGCTTGTCAGCCAGAAAATGGCCACGGGAGACCATGGCAGACCTCAAGGCCATCCAAAACCACTCTCTACACTAGACATCAGGGGAAAAGGGTACACTCTAGAGCGGGGTACCCCTTAAATATATGTATTATATTATATTATATTGTGTGCTAGCAAAATTCAAGAATCCTTAGCCACCAATTCTTTTGGTAGCCCTTAATTCTATCCATGACTCCTTTTTCAGAATAAACTACCTCAATAATTTCCATACCCAATCTGTTCGTACAATACAACAAAACCCTCTTGTATTCCCGAATAGAAGAGAATAGAAACTTCACTTGAGCCCAAGATAAAGTAGCAATATAATACTCTGCAGAGCAGAGTAATAATTTCAGTTTTTTCCCTGTCGGTGACAACATATTTTATGCTGCAATTTTCCGCCAGCGAAACAGAGAAAACTCGCTGCGTTTTCCCGCCCGACTTTTGTCCGACTTTGACTCTGCTTGGGTTTTCGGGGGGTATTTTATTTTGGGGTATAGGTTCTGGGCCCCCTGTTCACTTTATTTATTGTGGCCCGCTTTTGTATACCATGGCATTTTGGCTTTTGTGACGGGAAAGGTTCGCGGTTTTGGTGGATGGGTGGTTGGTTGGTTGGTTGGACAGGTCACCGGTCGCAGGTCAGGTCATAATTTTGCAGCTCAGCTCCTTGTGGCAGTTAATAAATGTGCCACCAACACTGGCCGCAGCACAGCAGCAAAAGCTAGTCGGAAAAGCAGCCACCGGTGACAGCTTGAAAGGGTTTTCCACCGGTTTTCTTTTCACATTTTTTTCCTTTTTTATTGTGAGCTTTTGGTGATTAGATTTGGCAGAAAGTTGATTGACAGACAGTTTTAAGTGAAAGTCATTCGAGAGGGCCAAAAAGTTGATCGCATCGCATGAATGTGACATTTTGATAAAATATTAATTAGGTTTTCTGGCTTCTGGTTTCTTTGGCTTGGAGTTTTTAGTGGCTTTCGATGCCAAAGTCTTCGACAAGCTAAGTAATTTTGCTAATTGACTTAAGTGGCATTCGGAAAGGGTATGCTTTTCAAGAGGTTCTCTGTAATTAAATGAATGGCTGAAGCACAGAAAGAATGTACATAAGTATATGTACATAAATACGAGTATTTTCTTGCTAGTGCCTTACTCCTGATGAGCAACACATACCATCTGAGTCATATTTGAATATGAGCGCATTACAATGGTGACATTCTGCATGAATCAGTACTTTCGGATGAGCGGAATATGCAATATTTGGCTTGTAGTCGAATGTAAATGCTCGACGTACTTGTTTGCTAAACATGTCTCATCTTTCCTCAAATTGTCGCCTCTTTCCATCTTGAATTGTGTTTACTGTCCATCTTCATTCATTAACATTTCCCTATTATTTGGCCCATGAACTTCCGCCTATCATTCGGCCTTAAATATTCATTAACTGGCATCGCCTTGGGCATCATAAATATTAACCGAATAATTCAATTAGTTTTAGTACTCGAACGTATACTCGTGGACAGTCCTCCAGTCCCTATATGATAAATTATGCAATATTTGATTTGGACTTTGGCTAATGCACGACATACGAGTGTTGGTTTTGTGGCGGCACAGGGTAAAGGGAAGGGCGCAAACCGCAAACAAAAACCAAAAATTGTGGCAGGCGGCTGGGGAGTTGCCACAGCAGCGGCAGCAGCTGCCGCTGTTTCTGCGATGCGAAGTGGGGATGTGGCTTAAGTGGCAACAAATGGCAAACAAAACGTAGCATACAATCCGGCATTCGGTGGAGCGTGCTCCACATGCAAATGGCCAACCGAAAACCAAAGCCCTGGAACTGCATTTTAGAGAGCTGCATGTCTGGTGGTGGTGCAACCAGTGAGCCACTGAGCCACTGAGCCACTGCTGAGGGACATAGTGGCTTACAAGCATTTCGTGGACTTTGCCGCACTTACGTGATCATTTCCACTGCAGCTGAAGCCGTGGCAGACATCAAATGAAATTTCCATAAAAAGGGCAAGAGAGATGAACCCATGAGAAGAGAAATGGCAAACAGCCAAAAGCTGAAACACGTGATTACATCCAGCATTATGGCCAGAAAATATTTGGCATTCAAAGCTGCCTAGAACTAACCGCCAGTTAGCAAATGCAAAGCTGCCTAGAACTAACCGCCAGTTAGAATTCACAGCTGCTCTGACCACCAGTTTAGCATTCAACAAACCTCCAGTTAGCATTAACTTCCGCTCGGGCAGCATTTAGTTGCAGGATCCTCTTGCCTGTGAATAATTTTATTAGCTGAAAGTTTCGCCCCCCCACCCCTCTGGATGTTTCTTAATTAATTTTCTTGGTTGGGCATTTTGTTTGGTGTTCCGTTGAGTAGCGAGAGACTCGTGCCAAGGGAAACTTTTAATGGGATTTTCTTAGGAAAACTGGTGCCCAGTAATTACAGAAAATAAACACATTTTTTATGCTGATTAATTCAAAAATAACCGAAAAAGTAAAGGTGTTTATTGAGTTAAAAAACGTCATATTTTGTCATATCATATAATAAATATTTATAATTCATCAGTAACAAAATTGGATACAATTTTACGTATTTCCCAAAAATTATTCAAGATCTTGTGCATACAAATTCTGCCAATAATCGATTTAGAACCCCCAAGCAATTAATTGCTTAAAAAACCAACAAATATAAATTGGTGCCACAAGTTTTTCCCATTTTCCGGCAGCATTAAATTATGGCCATATAAATTCCGCAAGAATTTGGAACAAAATATGTTTTAGATTATTGGCCGTGGCAGGGTAATTTGCTGCCATAAAAATATGGGTGTGTGTGTTCCCGAAAAAGGTGTCGAACATAAATTTAATTATGCTGACAGTTTAATTATGCCTCATGCCCCAAGATTTATATCGTTTGGCCAACTGTGGGACATGGGTGGAAAGTCTATGAATATTTATAAGATGTGTGCGTATGCAAAGCGAGGGATAGGCATCCACCGATCAATCCCAGGCCCCCTTTTGTAACCATTAAACCATGTAAACTGTAAACTGGTTTACCAAATCTGTCATCAGATTTTCGGGGCGGAAATTGGTTTGCCCCCGGGCCCTCGGTGCAAGTATAACTCATTATGGACGCTTGTGTGGCAGATTGCGTTTCATTTTGCGAAAATGCAAATGGAAATTGTGTGCGGTGTGGTGCAGCCGCAAAACTGTAATGAAAACTCAGCCTGTCCGCCTGTCTGCCTGTCTCCCTTCTCTTTAATCCGCTTGCAATTGATTTCCAATCTATAACATTTTTGGATTATCCTTTGGGCCATAAACATTTTGTGGCCTTAAAGTCTTACTTTCAATATACACGTTATTTTTACGCCGCTCTGCCATCATCATATTTTTACGAGGCTGTAAGTTTTTTGTATCGAAATATTTGTGTTTTATATCTTGTCAATTTTTACGGGCTGGCCCCCGTCTGGGCCACTGTGAAAGTGCTTTGCCATGGTCTCCCCTCTCCTCCTTTGTGGCATTCATTGTTGCCTCATTTATTATTTATTTGCTGCGCACTAAAACTTTTGCAACGCCAAAACCCAAGAAAAAAACCACTCGTTAAATATGCAAAAAAAGAGAGAAGGAAAAGGAAAACGTCTAAGGACCCAGGGCCAAAGAGTGCGTCAGTGTGGCTGGTCAGAGAATGTGAGGGTCTTACTCATACGCCATGTTGGTCGCTTATATAAATAGAACCATTGAACACGGTTACGGAGCCAGAAACAACAGAGTTTCATTAACAAAAGTGACGGTGAAAAGACGGAAAAGAGTGGGCTTAAAGGTGGGTTCGAAGGTGGAACAACAGTTGATTTATTGATTTGCCAATGACTTTAATCCGAAGCTAACAAACTTTCGAAGTTACCCAAATCTATTGTGGGAAACACTTGGAGCTCTAGAGCTCTCATCTGGGTTGGCTAAAGAATAGCTGTATTTATTGGCCAAAAAAGAGAAGTAGTGAAGAGTGCTTTGCATACTTACACAGTTATGATGGCCAAGATTCGAATATTATTCCACAAATGCACAATACATAAAATCCAATTTCCAAACCAAATGGAAATTCCAAGAAGGAGAAAGCGCGCAGTAAAGGGCTTCGATAAGGCGAACTTAAAGATACTCTATCCTGAAAAGCAAGCCTAGAAATTAATGTTTTTGGAATAGATATTATAAAACTATATTTTTTCTCAACAAAAAATGGAAGAATCAGCCTTCGACAGTGACAGTGCCATGCTCAAAGAGCTGGACAACGAATTAATTCGCTTGGATCAAAAAATAATGGCTGTAAAAGCGAAAGAGCGGTATCTAAATTTAATGAAGATGGCTTTATTGAAGAATGCCGCACAGAAATATCAATGCCATCGTGCTCAACTGATCCAGGAAGCATTAGAGGTAAAAAGGAAAATCAAGGAGAGCTTAAATAAATTTCTAGAAGAAATACAATAATTGAGACTCGAAAGACTGATGGGCCAAACCATACAAGAAACCATATATAATATACGACGAATAAAACGACGAATAATGTAATAACAAATAAGTGTATTTGATTGTTAGAGAATATTCTTTGTTCAGGTTTTAAATTGCAATCAAATGGAGTTCTTTAACTGGAAGACTTTTCAGAGAAAGTGCAGAGTTGATTGTTTTATTTATGCAAATATTAATTTAAGATTAATATTAATTTCAAATAGCTGTTCTTGATCACTTTGTACCTTCAAACCTCCAACCCTTTCCTTTAATTCAAATATCTTTAAATAACCAAAATACCCTCTATTCAAGTGGTGTATAGCCCATAAAAAGCAGGGAAATATAATGTTAGGGTGGGGGCAGAGGCTGGCCATAACCTAACCACAACTGAAGAGCTTTTCCTGCTTTTCTAGTGGAAATCCACTTGTGACTTGCGCATTTCCACGGGGAGGGGACGAAGCCAAGAAGCCCTCTCTCCTGCATCTTTGAATATCCAATTTAAAGGGTATCTTGGGGGCATGCTATTGGTGTGGATGTGTGCATTAAATGCAATTCAATATATGCATTTGCAGCCGCTGTGGCATGCTGCATGTGACCGGGAAATGCCATCATCAGCACGTGCTGGAGCTGGTCACAGGTGAGCCTTAGATTTCGATATTTCGTGCCGCAGCCCTTTGAATTTGGACTGCCACAAATTGATTTGCTTGCACAAGGCATTTTCCAGGCATTTTCACAATTTCCCCTCTGCAAAGTATGCCAGAGACAATGATGGGAAAAGTAAATGGAAATTTATTTCTATGTGCATAAAACTTTGAAAGTTTTGTGCTGTCAGGAGCGTCCGCTAATTAAAGGAAACTTTTGTGGCACATTTGAAAGGCAGCCTGCAATTAGTTGGAAGGGAAATTTCTACTTAAATTTCATTGCTTTTCCTTAGACAAATAATCATGAAATGTGTTGGAAATTTGTTTAAGGAAAGGACCATGGAAATGAATTGATATTTTATCTATTCGGGCCACTGCATAATTTAGCAATAAAATTAAATTTTCGTTCGAGTTCTGTGGCTTTGCTGCTTAAATGCGGAAAATATAATTACTCGGCCATCAATTATTTATGGCCTATTCCTGAGGACCAGGCTATACCGACGACCACAAAGCATATTTAAATTTGTTTGCAATTCCTATGCGGTCGACAGGTGTAAATTTTCATTGGCTTTGTTCGGCTGCGGTCGTCGATGTCGATACGTGCAGGAAATTCCGCATTTTCCCAAATCAAGAGGGAAAACTGCGCATCAAAAGAGGCAAGGCTGGGCATCAAAATAGGGAAAACTGTGCATCGAAATACGGAAACTGTGCATCGAAATGGAGAAAACTGGGCAACAATGTTGTTGTTGGCTTTCAGTTTTCGGTTGGAGAGCGAAAAACAAAGGAAACAACTTTGCAGTGCATAAAGTTTCCCCCCCTGCCATCATCATCATCATCCTCATGGGTTGGTCAACATTTTAGCATTTCTGCAGCATTTGCTCCTTGAGGTGAGAGGCTGCTTGCCCGAACCAGCCCCGGTGCTCTGGGTGTGGGTTACCTTGAGTTCCTCCGTTCCTGTTGCCTGTCAGCTGCCTGTTGTTCGGCGTCGTCGAAGGAGGAGAAGGATGTGAGTGCTGTGATAAAGTGCCCTCTGAGCTATCCAGTAACGGAGCTCTTCGCATAAGCCAGATTAAATGTAGTTTCCATTACTGTTGTATGCCACCACTTTCGCTAGAAGTAGACACGAGACACCAGTTGTTGCAAGGTTATTTTCGGTGGGTTGAAGGGTTCAACTGCTGTGGCATGTGTCTGCTTGCGGCCAAGATGCATGCGGAATTGTAGCTTTTAATCAAAGATTTAGCTGTGTGCATCTCCAAAGAGAAGCTCGATTTGGTCAAGAAGGTTGTCTGGGTATAATTGATTTAAAAAAAGAGAAAGAGAGCGGCCCTGTGGTTACCTTGTAGATGTGGGTGTCTAACAGAAAATTGAAACTGTTGAGAGTGAGTTAGACATGGTGAAAGAGAGAGAGATAGAAGAAAGTTATTAAAGAACTGCAAAACGTTTAAAAATGATGAAAAACGCAGCTGCTGACCTGCAACGTATGAAAAGCGCATAGAAAGGCGCTGTTAAAGTAGTTCAAACATGTCAAATGTTATCTTAATGTTACACAAAATGTAAACCAAATGTTACCAAGCATATATGTACATAGTTTCCACCACTAACCATACAGTACTGTACATACATACTGTATGGTTAGTGCTTCCACTTAGCTGCTACGTAACAGAAGTGCGGAGAAGGGCGCTGTTAAAGTGCTGTTAATTATGGAATAACATTGAATACGTTCCAGCTTTGCAAAGAGTTCAGCCATAACCAAAGGAGAGAGCAAGATGGAGAGGAGCAACCCAACCCAACAACCCTTCACTTAGTTGTAGTTTTCGTGCAGTTCTATTGTATTAACATTTGAATTATACCATAAAGTCCGTTGAATTTTAAACTAAAAATTTGTTGCAGACAGAAAATTTGAATGTAATTTAGGATGCGGTTAGCAGAGGTTTCATTGGGAGAGCTGAGAGAAGCTACTCCTCTGCCGCATTGGCGGATGTTACAGAGCCCTTCTCAGACACCTTTTCGGCAGCTTCCTCCGCAGCAGGGGCCTCTATAGTGGCAGGGGTCTTGCCGGCCAGTGCCAGCAGAGTATCGGGTGGCATCTCATGGCCGTCATCCTCCTCTTCCTCGCCCTCCTCGTCACCGAGTAGCTCGCCCAGGGGCTCTGGCGGCAGCCAGCAAGAGCCCTTGATGAGGCGATCCTCGATCTCAGCAATCTCGTTCTTATAGTACTGATTGAAGTCCGGTCGCTCCCAGATACTACGCACCCACTGGAGGTTGAAGTCGAGCTTCGTACAGCAGCAGAACTTGCGCGATTTGTGGCACTTGGGGCACTTGGCTGGCTGCCGTGCCGGATGGACATACGTCTTCTTTTGCTTCTTCTTGCAGCAGTACGGGCACACGTGCTTGGGCTTCTTCTTGGTGCTGCACGGCACCGGCTCCTTGGCATAGACCAGGTGTCCCCGCTTCTTGGCACAGAAGCAACAGTTGCAGTCGTCGCCCTCTGGCTGCCGCTTGCGGGTCTGCATCCGGTCGTAGAACTTCTTGTAGGCGATCTTGATCTTGGCCTCGTAGGCCAGTTGGTCGCTGCAGGAGAGCCCATCGAAACGGGCATAGCTCTCGGCAGTCTTCCTGGCGGCATGCACCCACACGCACTCGTCGTTGTACGAGGGTCTGCCCTGCTCGTCGTAGGTCAACTCCGCCTTCGGTTCGTAGTAGAAGGCCTTGAAGCCCCGCTTGATGATGTTGTACGCCAGATGGGCCTCCACTTTGTTCATCAGCGACTTCTTGCCCAACTCGTGGAACAGATCCTCCTTCCGCAGGCGCTTCTTTGGCGTGGTATCGATGCAGTAGCACACCTGATCGTAGTGCAGAAAGGCATACGTGATGATGTCCACCGTCGACTTGGCCTTGCACTCGTGCAGCCCGCACGTGATCATGATCTGGGCCAGCGTATTGGCCAGATCCAGGACATTCTCCAGGAAGATCGACGAGGCATTCACTTCGCCCAGGCACTTGCACTGCGTGTGCTGATCGATGATCCCCAAGGGGGCATGCCGCTGGCACTCCTTGTGCTGGCAGTTGTTGCGGCACCGAAAGTCCGGCATGGCATGGTGGGCCTGCATGTCTCTCAGGACTCTACCGCCTTACAGAAAATTTTGTGTACAAGTTATGGGAAAATTTTACGAAATTTTTCGTACAGAATTTTTTTTGTATATTTTTGGAGAAATCGAGACAAGCCAAATAATGAATGTGGAACAAAGGAAAGATTAAAATGTACTAAATAAGTGTAGGGAAAGTGCTTCTATGTTGAGATTTTAAAAGTGAAAAGAGTTGTCTGGGCTACTGGTATGACATTTTTGTGATAAGAGGTTGTCTAAGGGGTATTTTATTAACCAAAAGACACCCAAAAAGGCACTCGAAAAGCCAGTCAAAAGCGACCCAAAAAGACACACAAAAAGCCACCCAAAAGCCAATCCAGTGCTGCCAATCCTATTGTTCTTACAATCCAAAGTGCTGCCAAATTTAAAAAACAATCCATTCTTTTAGTATATTCCACAACTTTTCTTCCTTGCTTTTTCTAGATTTTCTTCAAAATTTGGCTACTATATTTCCGTTGGTTCTTTCCAAAAAAGTTCCCTGTTGTCCTAGGCCAAACAACGTTTGATACGGAATAGATTGTTTGTCCTGGCCTGCTTGTGCTTTTCCTTGTAGACATGGATAAATTTCAATAAGGCAAATATTTGCCAGCAGCCAGCAGCTAACGGGACAACAGACCAGGCCAGGGGGAAGTGGTGGAAACAGACAGTGGAAAATTACTGCTGGGCCCACAAGCAGTATTTGTCATTTTTCTTGAAATATTTGTCCCTTTTTTGTGATAGTCTTTTTTTTTTGCTGCTGCCACAAAAATGCTTGCCCTTTTCTATACGAAAATAGCTTATCCTCTTCTTTTTTTCTGTGTGTTCTATTGGTGTTGGTGGAAGGACATTCGTAATTGCTGATGACGGCATTGAGTCAAGTTTATGATTGGAAGGGAAATGCGTCTGTCTGGCAGATCCGAGAAGGAGCTCTTGGATGGAGCTCTTGAACGTAATCCTCGGGGGAGTTGTCAGCGCAAATACATCAAAGTGGAATTTATTAGAGCAGCTTTTGCCCATATCATATCCGTTTCCTGTCGACAAGTGCCGCAGCAGCAGCAGCGGCAGAGAAAACTCATCTAAAAGCATTTTCTGCTGACAAATGTAAATCCCCATTCGGGTTGGAGCAACATTCTCCCTCTTTTCGGACAGCACGGCCAGCAAATTGTTGCACTTTAACCTCGGGACACAAGAGTGTAAGTACCAGGCCAATCCCTGGCCCTCTCAAAAGTCGCTTAATCTGTCTCTGTCTCAGGCAGAGCCATAAAAAGTTTGCCTTAAACCATAATGAAAATAGCAGCGGGGTGCTTCTTCTCTTTTGTTGGCATAAAACTTCAGCAATCGTGCATAAATCTTGGCCCAGACAAAATGGCCAACTGTTGGCCATGTTTTCGCAAAGTAGACGGCATATTGGTTTTGCTCTAACAATAAAAGTTTATGGTCTGGCACGGACACAGGTAGGAAGTTCCGATCCACCATTTTCTTGGCCATTAAAATGTTTTTCTAAAGGGAAAACTTATGCCATTCCAACTTTTTTGCAGAGCTGACTGTTTATCCGCTTTAATAATCCCTTTTGAAAATATCAATCAACAGATATTTTGTGTGTCTATCCAACAGAAATCCCTGGCCTTTGGCACGTACCTTAAATGAGTCCCTAAGCCCCACGCGCACTGTCCACGTCATTCGCATAAAACCCTTTAATGGTTATGCAGGCACCAATTACCATTAAAAACGGCCAACCAACAGATACTATATAGGATATATGTATGTGCCATATATGGGGGCAAAGGAAAAGCACTGAAAAAACAAGGAAAATCAATATTAGAGCCAACCGAAAACGCAGCCGAGATTGAAAAATCCTCGACACGGTGAGCGACTGGCTATGATTTCGCTCTCCCCTTCCTTTGAGTCCTTTCCGGTTTTTTTTTTTCGGTATTTCGGTGTGTGTCGGTCGTTAGACGTGCCATGATTTATAATACTCTGCGATGGAGAGCCACTGAAAATGGATGGGTTTACGTATACCGAAACCTTTAACCAGATGCCAGATAAAATGTTGTGTAGTGAAAACTGTTGCTTTGTGGTAAAGTTCGGGTTGATATTGTATGGCCATCAACCTAATGGAATTACCCAAATACTAATCAATTATGAAACTAATTTGATTATATTTTCGAGAGGTCTATTTGGGGAGGTCTATTTTTGTGGTCTTCAGGCATGAGAATAGCTTAACCTTTAATAAAGAAATATAGTTTGCTGCTATGATTTCCCCTTTTTCCACAGTGTATTCCCTGGTCGTTTTATGCCCGCTAATTTCGCTTTTTGAATCCTTGTGATTTTCCGTGTGAGTGTCTGGTTTTTGCGAGTGGCCAAATGGCAGGACATAAATCTGCAAATGTGATAAATGGTTATAAAGCCAACGCGTAATGTTTATTTAAAATAATGATGATGATGAGCAGCTGCTGCATCCACGCCCCCTACATCTTCTCCCTTTTATGTATATTCCTTTCATGTAAATGGCATTTCAGACCTCGGACGAATGCCCCAAAGAATCCAAGCGAATGGCTTGTATGACAGGAGGAGAGTGCCTCAGCGACAGACAGACAGCTGTTAAAGTTCCCCTGTCAATTATTCATAAAAATGCGCATACGTCTGCACTCATTACGCATACGCCACGTGTGTGTGTCATACGATCTCCTTTCAAATTGCTTTCCATTTCCATGGCTCATACTAATTTGATTTATACTCAAATGCGAAATTTTTGTTGTTTATTCTTTATTCTTTATTTTTTTCGCATTTTATTTATTGTGGTAGGTATTATAATTCTTGTGGCTTTTTATTGTTTGTTTTTTTGGCATACAATTTGCATAATTGAGCTGCAGGGACTTTGCCAAGGAAATCCCTGATTTATGTGCCACCAAACTTTATGGCTAACTTTTTATAATTTCTGTCAAATGCTTTCGCACGATATTGTGTATACAATTTACGCAGAAAATCGAAAAAGTTTCTGTCTGCTTTGCATATAATTTTTACTGGAGAAAATAATGGAAATAAATGAACAGCAGGCTGGCCTACTTGTTGTTTAAAATGTACATTTGCATAGTCTGGCAAATGATAGAAGATGCCCAAGAAAAGCCAGAGATAAGTGAGGGAGATGCTCGAGAAAATGGCAGAAATATACCAGAAAAAGGGCAGCAGAAAGGAGTATACACCCAGAAAAAGGGCAACAGAAAGGGGGATATCTCTACCCAAAAAATGAGCAGTCATAAGTCAGAGATATCCGCAGAAAAAGGGCAGTCATAAGTCAGAAAAAGAGCACATAAATCGCCATGATTAATGTTACTTTAAGTTCCAACATTTTCTGTTAATTTGTGACACGTTTCCCCTATTGATTTCCCATCGATAAGCCCACGTATTAACCCAAATCAATATCTATTCGAGTGTATCTGTGAGAAAAATGGGGGAAAGTGGTGCCAACCCTTGACCTAACCGCAGTCCTTAGTCCCTTCCCCCAGGGCCCTATAATTGGGCTAGGTATCATTACAAAACCATTAAGTTGGCCAATCAAAAGCCATGCAAAAAGTATACTATCACAAAAAACAGTAACAAAACTCAATGTAATTCAATCAAAATGCCAGAGTCAAATGACTCATTAGGGAGGAATATATGGTATATATGTATGCTGATATAAAACGTTGACACAATCTGTCAGCATTGGATAATTGCCTGATAAATGGCCCTGGCGCTTAAATACCCAGCCATAAGACAAATGAAAGCCTGTGATGTCTGATTGATACGATAAATATACAGAAAAAATTAGCGAGCAAGCCCTCACATTCCTCGTGCCAGTCTGTGGGCTTTTGGGCCCATGATTGATTGATGGATGGCCCATCAGGCCCCAAAATGAATTCATCATTCATATTTGAGTGTATCCTTGGGAGCCAGCGAGTGTACATGAATCATGCGTTCAATTGTTCAAGCTGAGACAGAGTAAAGGCCTGAAACTTGACCAATTTCGTTGGGGGAGAAACTACTCTTTTTAGGAGCTAAAAAGAAAGCCCATAAAATACCCTTAAATTCACTTTCGATTTGCAAAATTTCCCTCACATTTTCCTCTGCTTTTCTAGGAGTCTCGTCACAGCTGCAGCTGTGCTTTAATCAATTTATTTTTATACATTATGGCACGAGCTTGTTTTCATATGAATATTTAAAACAGCCATTACAAAATTTCGTGGGGTGTTTGCTAATGTGGAAACTCCTCTAACTGGGAATTTTGTGGCAGGGAATTCTGGGAAAACAGGAGCGGAGTTTCCAAGAATTTTGGTAAAGCACATCTGCCTTGAAAAAAATGGGACTTTCTACCTGTTTCCGGCTATCATTTTTAGCCTCCCTTCAAGCCTTAAGTAACCTTCGAACAAAATCTACTCCTACATGTTGTTTTTTTGCCAAGAATTGGCTGTTGCTGCTGCTTGTTTTAACCATGTTGCTAGTCGATTACATGGATTGCACAGCTGGATATCCTGGTTCTGCTTCCTACTTCTGTGGGCGTGTAGGATGTAGACCCCTAATTCGAACACGAGTTCCGTTGCCAGTTCCATCTGCTCCCAGCCCCCGCTGGTTCAACATCAAAGTCCCTTTGTCAACATGTGCGTGGGTGTGAGAGTGGGAGTGGCTGAAAACATGGCTACGAAAGCGTTTTAATCTAAATAATTTATAGACTGTTTTTTCGCAACGTTTTCCTTGTCTCTGTGTATTCGATTTGTGGTGGAAGTGGATCCCATATAGCCATAAAGACTGTTACAAGTGGCATTTCAAGTGCATCGGTAGAGCTGCGGCCCTTGCCACGGCTCTCATCGTTTCCCGCACGTTTATCTCTTTCGTTTTTCTATTGTTCTGGAAGCCACCTGTACGCTTCTCTCTGACTCTCTCGTATCTGCATTGCATTTACATATTTACTCGTTGTGCTCCTGCCATATGTGTGCTGTGGCCCCCCCACGATTCTGGTTGGGATTAGAGCTGTCGCCGCAGCGAAGCGTTAAGCTGCTGGAAAGGGAGATGG